CCCTGTAGCCCCAGCTGTCCTGGAACTCACTATGTAGACCAGGCTGGCCTTGAACTCACAGAGATCCACCTGCCTCTGCCTCCCAGTGCTGCGACTAAAGGTGTGCGCCACCACGCCCGGCAATAATATATAAATAATTTTAAAGAAGAGACCGAGCAAGCAAGAGAGCACTCTTGTATAATAGGAACACAAGAAAAAGAACTGTACTTCTGAAGACCTTAAGAAGTTTCTAGAAGTCAGATGTAGTGGTGTACAACAGTAATCTCAGCATTAGGGGGACTGAGACAGGAGGATGAGAAGTTTAAGGTCATCTTTGATACACAGTCAGTTCCAGCCAGCCTGGACTATGGCAATGTAAAAACACAACTCTGACCTCAAAGGGGTAAGAGACTGTTTATTCTGAAGTCAAAAATATGAGTGACCATGGTCTGGGACCACAAATTTAAGTTTCCCTAAGTTCCATGTTCCAATGTGGAAGCAGTTTCAAGAAGTTTTTTTTTTAATTATTATTGTTGCTTTTATTTTATGTATACGAGTGTATTGCCTGCATGTGTAAGTGCACCCATGTGGTACAAAGCCTACAGAGGCCAGAAGAGGGTATGGGATCCCCTGGAACGGGACAGTTGTTAGCCACCATGTGGATGCTGGGAATCAAACCTGAGTCTTCTGGAAGAATAGCAAGTGCTCTTAACTGCCAAACCATCTCTCCAGCCCCTCAAGAAATCTTTATAGCAACATAACAAAGAAAGTAAAAAAGTCAAGGCACTTTTCAAATACATTGGTAGAAACATTAAGTAGGCAGTTCAGCTCTAGGCCTCTGATGCTATCTGATGACACTCAGCCTTTTGGCTGTTGGAAGTTAGGATTTTGTTAATACATCCCAAAAGGTTTTCATCTATTAGTTACCAGATATTAGGTCTGACACAGAGGTGGGCAAGGATTGGCTATTCAGGGACTAAAGAGAGCCCAAGATAAATTGTAATTTATCTCTGGACCTACAACATTCCAAACTCCTTACCATCATTGAAGTTCTAATATTTCTTACATTCCAAACTCTCAACCACTGAAGTTCTAATCAGTTAATTAGCTTCACACAAGGTTGAATTTGAAGATTTTTTTTTTTCCCTGAGGACTTTCCTTCACAGCTATAGGAGACTGTCTCAAAAAAACAAGCCGGGCGTGGCTGTGCACGCCTTTAATCCCAGTACTGGAGAGGCAGAGGCAGGCGGATCTTTGTGAGTTCAAGGCCAGCCTGGTCTACATAGTGAGTTCCAGGACAGCTGGGGCTACAAAGAGACCCTGTCTCAAAAAGACCAAAAACAAACAAACAAAAAAAAAAAACAAACGGTCTGGAGAGATGACTCAGTGGTTGAGAGAACTGGCTGATCTTGCAGAGGACCTGGGTTTGGTTCCCAGTACCCACATGGAGGCCAACAACCGGCTGTAACTCCAGTCTCAGGGGGACCTGATGCCTGCCCTCTTCTGGTCTTCTCGGACATTGCATATACAAGTGTACTTACGTGCAGGTAAAAAACGCTCATACACATAAAATATAAATAAACTAAAACAAAAAAAACAAAACAACAAACCATAAAGAAAACAGCAACAAAAAAAGAGTCTCTAGAGAACGTCAAAGACAATAGAGGTGCCAGTAATAAAAGAACTAGAGGAATTTTAGTTCCTAACATGTACATGTACAGTAAACAGTAAACAGCCTAATCTCTAGCCAGATAAACACAAAACCTCACACTAAAGACTGGTTTCCTCAGTTCTTTTTAGCCACACATCTGACACACTCTACAAAAAAATTACTTGGCACACTATAAGAAAAATAAATACACGCACACTTGCACACACGCCTGAAGAGGCAGAGCACCTACCAGCAGCAGACTCAGAAAGGCAGACGTAATGGAAGTATCAGACCAAAAACTTTGAAACTATAACCAATACGCTCTGGACTCAAATAGGAAAAGTGGATAGCATATACGAACAGGTGGGTAATGTGAACAGAGAAATGGAAATTCTAAGAAAAAACTGACAGGAAACATACTGTTAGAGAAACAAAGCCTCATCAATAGACTGGACAATCAAGTGAGCTTGCAAGACATGTTAGAGAGTTAGAGACATGTGGGGGTAGGGCAGCAATGGAAACAGGGTCTTGTTATGAAGCACAAGTTGGCCTTTGAACTCCTGGCAATCCTCCTGCTTCAGTCTCCTTCATGCTGGGATTTCTAGGTGCACACCACCAAACCTATGAGAAAACTCTTTAGAAAGAATTAAAATGATACAGGCAAAAATTTAGATCTAAAGCCAGGTGTGGTGGCACATACCTTTAATCCCAGCACTCAGGAGGCAGAAGGTGGATCTCTGTGAGTTCAAGGGCAACCTGGTTTACAAAGTGAGTTCCAGGCCAGCTAGCTGGGGCTACAGGGAGACCCTGTCTCAAAAAAAACCAAAAAAAAAAAAAAAAAGAAAAAAAAGAAAAAGTTAACTACAACTTTACATATTCAATTTGTAGTACCTTGAGACTAGGTGTTTCTCAGACAATTAATGACTGGATAAGTTCAGAAGACTGGGGTAGGGTAGGGAGGTGGAGACAAATTGTGAGGCCATTAGTCTAGGAATGGAAAAAATGGTCCAAAGACTAGACGAGTTTTATTAAGTGCTTGTAAGGAGGACCAGGCAGGTAACTAATTCAATCAACAAACTAGTGTACACAGTGTGCCCGGTTCTGTCCTTGGGGATGGTAATAAGAGACAACCTGAGGAATGACAAAATAGAACCGTTAATTCACTAAGGGGCATAGTTTGGGTAGTGTTCAATTGAAACCTGGCAAAAGAAACTTTAAACAGTTCCAACTACGTGACACAGGAAACGATGTGACCCCGAAATGCACAAAAATTTCTGTGATCCTACCGTTCAGAATATCCCAGGCTGACACCTCTTTTTCAAACTCTGCTTTTTACTTATTTAGGCACCGGGAGCTGAGGGGCAGTAGCAAGCACTCTACCACGGGTCTACACCCCAGCCCTGTATTTTGTTTCTTAAAGGCGAGCGCCCTCTTCTGGTTCGTGGAAGAACAGCTGGATTCCTGAGAAGCAGCGGCTCAGGAAAGGCTGCGGGATTTACGGAGTGGACCCGTCGGGTGAAGCGCGGACCGGTGTGGACTGAACCCTTCACGGAAGGACAACAGAGTGGACGGACCCCTTCACGGAAAGACCCAGTGCGGACCGACGCCTTCAGGGAAGGACCCGGTGCGGACCGACGCCTTTACGGCAGGACCCGGTGCGGACCGACGCCTTCAGGGAAGGACCCGGTGCGGGCCCCCAGCTTCACGGACTCCCGCGCTCCGCCAGGACTGGCAGAAGTTGACGGCGGGGCCCGCGGCGCGAGCAGCCAATCAAAGCCCCGGCCGCGCGCAAGGGACGCCGGGCAGCCGCCGCTCCCCGCGATGTCAGGTAGCTTCCCCGCCCTTCCGTTCTCTTCTCTTAGATTGTATTGTCTGCAGTGCAGTGTTTTTGTATTTGTTCTGTTTTCGGTTTCAGGTGTATGTGGTGAGTGCGCCCGTGCCCTGCAGTCCCCGCGGAGGACAGGGAAGGCGTCGGATCCCCGGGAACTGGAGTTATGGCAGTTGTGAGCCGCCATGTGGGTGTCGGAACTCGAACCCGGGTCCTCTCAACAGGGCCCTTAACTACTGAGCCAGTTCTGCAGCCTCCTGTCGCCCTCTCCCGGGGCAAGGGAAGCCGGGCACGTGACCGGAAGTGAAGTACAGAGGATTTTTAGAGCGGAGGCCCGCAGGTCCCGGCAGACTCCATCCCGTTGGGACGAGACCCAGAATTCCGCGGCTTCGAGAAGGCTGAGTACACCGCGACCGCCCGGACCGGACGTCCGCCGCGCGAACTGCCCCGAAAGCCCGGCTCGTCGGAGGGTCGGGAAGCCTGCGGGAGGCAGAAGGAACCACCTCGCTATGACCCCACCCCGGGGGACCGGTCCCGCCTCTCTGCGCTTCGCTGCAGCCGCCAGCTGGCAGGTGGTTCGCCGGCGCTGCGTGGAGCAGTTCCCGCGCGTGCTGGAGTTCCTGTGGTCCCTGCGCGCCGCCGCCCCCGGCCTGGTTAGCTACCGACACCACGAGCGCCTGTGTATGGGCCTCAAGGCCAAGGTATCCGGGAGGGCCGGGATGCGGGAAATGAGGCGGGGCGCTTGGAAAAGGCTGGGAATTCTGAGCCCAGTACTGTACAGGTGGTGGTGGAGATGATCCTGGAGGGCCAACCCTGGGCCCAGGTCCTGAATGCACTGAATCGCCACTTTCCAGAGTCTGCAGCGGTGCGTAATCCCCGTCCAAGTCAAATGCATTAGGCATGATGCAAGGAAGTTGCCCCCGTATTCGGGTGCCTCCATGTACCCCCAACTTCACCATCTTCCGTATCCTCAACAGAGAAAACGAGACGTGAAGATCCTGGAGGCAAGGGAAACTTTTTGCCGGTATGTGAAGCAACTGTCAGAGGCCTCTCTGGATTTGGCCTCGAGTCTCCAGGTGAGACTGGTTGGTTTGGAGGCTGTTACGTGATTCCTATTTTCTCGAATACTCTGACCTTCTCTTTCCCACATACAGGAACTTGAACAGGAGTACGGGGAACCCTTTCTGGCTGCCATGGAAAAGTTGTTTTTTGAATACTTATGTCAGCTAGAAAAAGCACTGCCTACAGTACGACCACAACAGGTTGTTGGCACAAACACTTAAGGGCTGAATGTGGGGTGGTTGTAGTCAGACTGTGGTCTTCATACCTGTCACTTGGCCCACAGCTTCAGGATGTTCTAAGTTGGATGCAGCCTGGAGTTTCTATCACCAATTCTCTTGCTTTGCACCAGTATGGTGTGGACATGGGGTGGCCATGGCCACTTCCAGGTAAGAGGACCATCTGGGATAACTGGGAATTTGGGAGATAGTGTTAACCAAACCTTTTGAGTCAGCCCACTGGAAATTCTGTAGGCTGAGACACAAACCTGAGTTAACCTGTTCCCAATTTTCTGTATGAACCTCCTTTTTCAGAGAACTCTGTTTCTGACCCAGTGAACCTGACAGACCCCATGGAACAGACTCATCAACAACCACAGCCGGCAGCCCACAGTCCACTGCGGAAAGCTATACCTGGTCTTTGTGGACCAGCCTCAGGGAAGTATCCAGAACCTTTAGCTGGCCAACACTTCAATCTGGCCCCTCTGGGACGGCGTAGAATCCAGTCCCGATGGACATCTGCAAAGGAAGGCCATAAAGGGCGGCCTATGGTCATGCTGTTTCCCTTTAGGAATTGGAGCTCATCAGCCGAGGCCGTATCTAAACCTGAAAGCAGGGACGAGTGTGGAATACACACAGCAGGTTCTGTGGTCACAAAAGCAGTAGCGACTGGGAAGTGTGAGAGCCCGTCTCAAATCCTGGGGAAAAGAGTGTTAGAGGAGAACTCAGCTGACCTACCTGCCTCCAAGCAAAAGGAGTAAGTGGAAGAGTAGTTTCTCCTTGCTTAGGGTCACGTGCTTTGCCTACTTCCTTCATCCTACCTATCCTTTGCTTCCATGTCAGGAACTGCACGGATCCTCTAAGACTATCGTTATCGCCTCCTAGAGCCAAGAAACCAGGTAAGTGGCTGAATCAAGATTGAATCACACAAGTTCTTTTCTTGGGGGCATTTCATGGCCTGTGTTTGCCTGGAAGAATGATTTTAATTGTGGTCTCCTTCCTGCAGCGCAGTCTCCATCTCAGTGTAGCTCCGTCATTACCATAGGAGACTTGGTTTTGGACTCTGAGGAGGAGGAAGATAACCAGAGGGAAGGAACGGTGAGTAGGAAGCAGAAAGCTGAGAAAAATAATGGGCAGAAAAAGACAAAGTCCGTGTTAGGGGTTTCCAATGCAAGGAACTGTGCTCCTTCTCTAGAAAGTGTCTCTGGAAAACTATCAGAAGACAAAGTTTGACACCCTGATCCCCACGTTCTGTGACTACATCCCCAGTATCCTGCCCATTCCCTCCTATGACTGCATAAACAGCTCTAGAGCCCTGTGACAGCACTGGATTGCCCTCTGTCCATCTGCCTCCACAGCTCTGCAAATAGTTAAGTGGAAATGAAGTGGAAGCCCAGACTTTAGTTGCCCGGGTATATTACTAAAAGCTTTGAAATGGTTGAAAATTAAACCTTGGATTTGTTATGAATACACTGTCTGATGGGAGGAAAGGGAATGAAGACTTCATAGGTCTGCGTAGGTCATTCCTCAGAAACATAACCAGCCTCTCTAGAGCTGGATAAATACCTTTTTCCTTTTTCCTTCCTCTGTAAAGGGTTGCTCAGAAGTACCTAGGAGGGATATAGTTGAGAGCCTGGAAGAGAAACTGTCCTTAGGCTATTCTGACACTGCCCCTAATGCCACAATACAGATAACTTTCATGCTAGTTATCTAGGGCTGATAGCACTAGAATGTAGATGCTTCATGAGAATAATCCTTACTGTCCTCGATTCCACTGGTCAGTGCTAATCCCACTTCTGCCCAGGGGCAGCATCCAGGTGCTATTCTGAACAGAAAGCCCAGCATCTCTTTTACCATCAATAGTTTTATCTTTATTGAGGTACTTCAAATATTTAAGTACTTCTAAGGTTTTTAGGTATTTGATCTTGTTTAATGAAGCTGATTAATATGATTCCAAAAAGTCTTCCTCCTTCAGACAAAGCCTATCATTTCTGTGTCAGTCAACATTTTTTAATCTTTGGGATGCTGTCCCCAGATTCCCATCTGTTGATCTTACTTCGTTTTCTCAGACCGTTTTCTTCCTTGTTCCCTAGTTGAGTGTCCTTGGCATTTTGTTTGCATAGACAGACAATCAGAGTTGCTGCAGGAGCCCTCAGGGGTAAGATGCTAGGAAGTGAATGAAGTAATACACAGCCATAGTAGCTGAGATGGGTGAGAAACCTTAGGAGGTCCTGTGGTCCGAGTCCTGCTGCCTTGGGAAAGCTGCTCAGGTCTAGTGGGAATCGCTGAATATTGGATTCACTTGCTGGGTGACTCGGATGAAGGTAGTTCTCCGACTTAGCTCCTTCAGTTTAGCTGCTCCCACGTAGGTACATGTAGATCGGATCCCTCCTAAGATGTCACGAATAGTATGTTCCACATCCCCTTTAAAGGGAACTTCTACTGTCTTTCCTTCTGAGGCCCTTGGAATCAGAAAAACTGTATTACCTCCTTGTTCTGGATTCCTTAAGCCCAATGACTCTTTCTGTCTTTAGTGTTTATAGCCCCATTACCATTTTTCTCCTAAGAATGGTGTCCTACATTTCCCAACAGCTGCAACACCATCTCCAAAAACACTCAGGTATTAGACCCCCACGTATACCTGTATTCAGCCACACCTCCTGCGTACTTCTTCATGGCCATTTCAGAACTCATTCCATAGAAAAGCTTGTACTTTTTGCCATCCCTCTCGATGAGTTCACCACCTGATTCACTATGCCCAGCCAGCATGCCACCCAGCATCACAAAGTCTGCTCCTGCTCCTGTCAGAATCAAAGCGGTAGAAAAGATGTATCTGGTCAAGGTGCCATTAGCCACCCTCAAAAACAACTGTGTCACAGTCTCACGTCTAGTAACTACTTCAGCGTCTTCCTGGTTCTGTGTAGCTGACCCACAAACCCAGTATTTTTGAGACCTCTGAAGGTTCCCTGCCTGGCTTCTGCTTTTCTTTTTACTGCTTTGCCCACCTTGTGGTGAGTCATTCTGCTGCTCCCAACTGAGTCCCAAGAACACAATCTCCTATCTTAAGGATCACATGGGAAACGAACATGCAGATTTGCAGGTCCATTCCTCAGGATGATTTTGTAGATCTGGTGTGGGGCTCAGGAATCTACACTGTCCAACAGTCTAGGAGACAGGATAAGTGTCTCTCTCTCTCACCCTTGGAGAGTCAAAATTCATCTCAGGAATTCCCTTGCTGGCTTGCCTCAGGTAAGTTCATATTATGAAATCATCTCAATGGCTTCCTGAGCTAGCCTGATCCTTGACCCCCAGAGGTGATTTAGCTTCTTCTACAGGATCCTCCTTCCATGCTGTCCCAGTCTCCTTACCAAAAGCCTTTGCCACATCCCCAGGACAGCTGCAGCCTCCATCCTACAAAGTAAGGAGTACTGTGAGAGCACGAATTTCTCAAGACTTCTCAGCAGCCCACCTCAAAGTGGATAAGCACTCAGTCCTTGACCAGAACTTGACCAGAGCCCCCACACTGCAGGAAACAGCTGTTGGCCAACGTCAATCCCCACCGAGCCCTTGGGCCTTACTGAAATGATATGGCCTCTGAGGCCATGAGCAGCGTCTGCACACTCCATCACTGCACTGAGCTGTGGATACCCTACTCCAGTTTTTTTCCGGGTTGTACAAACAGAGCCTGGGGAAAGCATGACAAACGTTAGAGTGAAGTGTTCTTGGATGTTGCCACCCCTTGGCAGTCAGAAGCCCTAAGAAACCAGCTTACCTGGACCAATTCCCACTTTGATGATGTCAGCCCCCGAGAGGATTAGTTCTTCTACCATCTCTCCTGTTACCACATTCCCTGCCTGAGACAGCAACCAAAATATCCTTATGGTAAGAGACGGAGAGGTGCCTTTGTGCTCTCACATACAGCATGCTTAGAGTATGACCTTCCTATTCTATTACAAAGAAGCAGTACCCAGGACTCCTGCTGGACCCTCTACTTCAAAGGACCTGCTTTCCACCCACTGTCCCCCAACACCTAGTGTGGAAGTAGAGGGGACTGGCCAGCATAGTTATTGAACTAGGGTGAATAGAGTTTACTGTGTGAGCAACAGGGAAGACATGATGGCGCAAGAGAACTAAGAAGCTGTTGCACCATGCAGCAAGTGACTGAAACCCCCAGTACTGGAACTCTCTGCCTTCAGAGAACAGGGAGAGACATGGCGATGTAGGTTAAAATACCCATCCACAACTATATTTGGACAATACAGACACCCCTTTCAATCCCATCAATGCTGTGAAGAAAATGAGGCCTTTTCATTAGCTTCTAAGCTTCTTAAAAAGATAACACATTGTGCCGGGCGTGGTGGTGCACACCTTTAATCCCAGCACTCGGGAGGCAGAGGCAGGCGGATCTCTGTGAGTTCAAGGCCAGCCTGGTCTACATAGTGAGTTCCAGCACAGCTGGGACTGCAGGGAGACCCTACCCTGTCTCCCCCCCCCCAAAAAAAAACCATTGTTTCATGTGATACTTTGTTATTGTTTTGAAATACAGCCTAACATAATCAGGGCTGGCCTTGAACTCCTGATCTTTATGCCTGTACCTGCCAAATCCTGGGATTACAGGTATGTGCCACCATGCCTAGCTTTTATATGCTTTTATGTTGTAGTACATGTCCCATTTCGGTAGGCAGACATATGTACCGCAGGTATGTGCAATGCATAAATGTTTGTTTTGTGAATGAAGTCAGAAACACTTGATTCATACGGATTGTGAATCAACGTTCAAAGATACTACACTGGTTAATATACATTTAAAGCTTTAAACTGAACAATAATGTGTATATTAGAAAAAACATAATAGACCAGAGGACAAGTGAACTGATACAACAAAAGAAGAGTGTCAGGATAGGGTAGGAGGAGACAGATGTACTGATTGCAGGACAGTAGGAACATACCATGATGGTGTGTTGGGGGAAGTGCTTCCGTACATCCTTTACAAATTCAACAAAATGTTCAGAGTAGCCATTTGCCACATCCAGGCATATATATTTCACTTGGGGAACAGCTTCCAGGATCTGTTCCAGCTGCTCAAAGTCAGAAGAGCCTGTGCCTGAGCTGGCAGCCAGGTACTGTGGGAAAAATAGCATTAGACCATCCTGTGGCATTGTATCAGAGATGATCTGGTAAGCAGCCAATGGGGGTTAAAGGTCAAGAAGCCAAAAAAGGATTCCTGGAAAACTGATAAGGGAGTAGGGCAGGCCCAGTGTTACCTCAAGACAGTCAGGATTCTGGCCAGCAAACTCTTGCCACTGATGGAGGCTGTAGTGCTTGTGGACAGCAGTGAAAAGGGAGAACTGGGGAGAAGAAAGAACCATCAAAAAGCAAGAAAACCAGGGCTGGAGAGGTGGCTCGGCAGTTAAGAGCACTGACTGGTCTTGCAGAGGACCGGGGTTTGATTCCCAGCACCCACATGGCGGCTACAAACCATCCTTAACTCCAGTTCCAGGGGAATCCGAAGCCCTCTCTGACCTCCTTGGTATTGCACAACACGGGTGCACTCACATACATGTAGTCAATACACTCATACACATAAAATAGCATTTTAAAAAAGCGAGAAAACCTTATTAGGGTCTCTTTCTGGATAGAGATCTTTATACTACTATCCTGAGAGAGAAGTTTATGATTGAGCTGGTCCAACCACTATTCTCCCTAAAAACCCCAGTATAGCTTTTACCCAAGCTGCTGCTAATCAGATATTCCTGCCAAAGTACTGTGATCTGGGTTGGATTTAACCTGCTAGCACATACATTACTTTTGACCTAGAAAGTGACAAGGACATGCTCTTGGTACAATAGGACAAGTAGACATGGAAGAACCACAAAGAGGTGGGATGGAGCTAGTGTTTGTCTACACCTTGCACTAAGGTCATCTAGTACTGAACTAACCTATGTTTTTATCTTCTGGCTCATTTGCTAGCAGTACTTCCATGAGTCTAGATGCACACAAAAGTTCAAGTAGGGCCAACGAAATACTATCCCATCCTTTCTCTGTTTCTATTGTAGTAAGGATATTTTCATATTACATAAACTCAGGAGGCTCATAACCTCTACCTCACCAAATTGAAAATGATATCCCAATACTTTAAGGCATTCAAAAGCCATTATAAATGCTGGTGTTTGTGCTTTGAAAGTACAAACAGGCAAATGGACAAAAGTCAACAGTTGATTGAGACAGCACAGATCTTGAAAGTGCATAGAAACCCAAGGAAGTCATGTATTAGACAGCAACAGGAAGTTCTTTGCTTAAAAGCTGATATTCTGCTTTCTCAGTAATACTCAGCTGTCCACATGCTGATAAGTAAAAATTGCTCTAGGAGGTCACCAGGGTCTTAGAGATATGTTGACATAATATGGCATAAAGAACACATAAATATCAAGCCTAAGAAAAACAGTTTGCTTGCTTGTATCCAACCCTTTTATCATTACTGAGACTTGGCTCTTTCTAAAATCTGATCTCTGTAGCACTTATCCATGATACTAAAATTCAGTCCCCAACAGGTTTATGTCTTACAGCATGTATTAGCAGATTTGCCATTCCCAAAATCCACCTGTCAGGATAGGCAATGAGCAACAGCAGATTCCTGAACAGTTAGTAAATGGCAACAGGAATAAAGTCATCAGAGTGCATAATTATCAACCTCAAAGAAAGTACAACAAACTTTCTACACAACAAAGCCAGAGACAGGGAAGGGAAGTCCTTAGGGTTAACAGCCATGGATAGCAGTAAAGTCCTCCAACTAGGGCTACATGGATTAATCAGCAAAGCTCATGTGTTGGTAAAGTGCCTAGAAAACTACCTTCTCAGCTATAAGCATAGAGGCAGGTAATACTAGTGATAGGAGCAGTGTCTTTCCATTTTCAAAGTGAACAACCTGCATTTAAGAAAAACCTTCCATGTGGGGTACATCCCAGAAACTCCCAGGAACCTAGGACTTAAACAAGAGGAAGATTAAACCAATAATAGGCATAAGAGAAAATAACCTGCTTCTCTCTAATATTCCAGTTAGAAATTCTGAATACTCAGAACTATTTAGTTTCTGGACAAAACAGTGAATACCAACTGTTGAAAACTGTGCGACTGAAGAGATGCATGATTGGGAGGGTTGGCTTGGATGCTGCAAAAATTTGGTAAGGTATCTGAACTTAGTAGGGGGAAGAAATTTTTGTTTACACATTAGAAAATGGGAGGGAACAATTTTGAGTCCTACAAATTCAAATGGATCTTTGAACTGATCAGATAACAGGACCTTAGCAATGGAGAAAATAGTAAACTAAGCATTTTGAAGTGCCAATTGCCAGAGAACTGAGAATGGGAGCTGGGATGCAATGCCTCTGCAGCCATTTGGGACAACAGGGCACTTTTAGGTAAGGCGCATGGATTTAGTCTCACCTTACAAAGAACCTTAGCCATCTCAAAGGTACCCACGGTATCCATATTGGCAGCAATGATGGGGACGCCACTGTACGTCTGCTTTGAGTTCCGAAATGAAAAGGATCTTGTGAGATCCACCTGTAAACGTTAACAGGAAGTTAGGCGTTTCAATCATCTAGACTGAAAATACGTATCACATTGGAACCAGGCAACTTTCTTGGTCCTGGCCCACCAGGATTTGGGGACTAAAAAGAGCAAGGAAGGCAGCTGGCTCACCTCACTTCGAGACTTAAGGGTGCTGCGTTTGGGCCTTAACAGGACATCCTTGAAGTCCAGTTTCACATCGTTGTCAATATGAGGCATGGTGCGGGGCTGGAGTTAGCCAAAAGTTTGAGGGCTGTAAGGTTAGGAAATAAGTAGAGATCTATGAGCCTTAATATGCTGATGGCGCCAGGACAGGGCCCATCCCTCCTTTCACTTAAATTGTAAAGATGGGTCACGGTGTGGTCCCTATAGTCTTGCTGGAGCCATCCTATTGGGGAATTACCCGGATACTTCCTTCCCAGGGAGAACTAGGAAGGGATTGTGATCTCTGAATATGCATTCCTTACCCCGCTATCTTGCTTCTCCCGCCCGGGCAAAAAACAATGTGGAATAAGAGGCTGACTTGGTGGGGGAGGAGGAATGAGGAGGTTTCAAGCAACTTCCGGCATGGGGTACTCACTTCCTGCTGCCTTGACTACGGTGGCAGTTGACCAAAGATTCTTTTGCTTCGCAGCTAGCCTCGTGCAGCCCGGCTGAACCTCGGGGGCGATGCTAATAAGTTCCGCTAAGTAACAGAGTCCACGTACTAAGGTTGCCGTTGGGTCCGAGCGGGGAAGGGACTACAACTCCTAGGGTGCAAAGGACAGAGTAGCCCGTGGCATGATGGGATAAGTAGTTCGTTCCGCTGCTGCCGGCCTCTAGCCCCGCTGGGGACTCGAAGAGGCTCCGCCTGCGCCGTGACGAAGCTGGCTGCCTTCCTGTGGTCGACAACGCCTTGAAACGGACACCGGGGCCTTCCCGAGCCCTTCTGGGACCGGCGCAAAGGGGAGAGCGCGGATCCCGAGAGTGACCCGGAAGCAGAAGTTTCCTCCACCGGCGGATCTCTCGGAAGCTACAGCGCCGACCGCAGCGGGAGAAGCATCCGTCTGTCCGCCTGCAGCCCCAACCTGGGAAGAAGATGCTAATTAAAGTGAAGGTGGGAGCCTTTCCAGCTTGCCATGACTCGGTAGTACGGGCTGGCCGCTGCGCCTTACGAGAGACGTGGGGCAGGAGAGCCATGCCTTTCCTGAGCCCGGAGGACTAATCCCCTCCTCCGGCCGGCGCGCGAGGCGTGATGGGAAGAAGGGGACCGCGGGGGGCTCGTCGTGTGGGTGGCGGGTCGCGCCCGAAGACCTCTACCCCTGCGGTCCGCGCTTCCTGGCAGGTTGTGCTAAGAGGCCGCGTTTGTCTTGGTCTCCCCATGTCCGCGTCGTCGCAGTCCTGAAGGCCTAGCAGCAGCCTGGCTCCCACTCCAGGACTTGGGGAAAGCTCTGCCCTCCCCTGTGCGTGCTTCTTCAGTCCCGAGCATGGGCTGCCTCCACACGCAGCACTGAAACGTTAGCGTGGGGAAGCTGGTGCCTTTCTGGAGCTACAGACTGAGCCTTCTCTGGGAGTTGCCAGGGCTCGGATCTCAGTCGTGTTTCAGGAGCTAAACCTAGGAGTGTATTCGTTTGGCATCTGCGTCTGAGCGGATCATTAAGAACTAGACTTGGCCGAGCCAGGCTAACAATCGGCCTGCTAGTTGTCAGTACTGAGTCTCATTAATACCTTTCCTTTCAAGTCCCTTAGTTTCTTCGTCAGTTTTAAATCCTTATTTACTCATATCTGCGGTTTTTATCTTAGTACATTTAGACAGAGACACAAAACAATTGATGCAGTGCGACATTAGTTTGGCCTTTTTATAACGATGTAAGTCTGTCATCAGTTATTTACCATATATAATAGCTTTTTTTTTTGTCTTTTTGAGACAGGGTCTCCCTGTAGCCCCAGCTGTCCTGGAACTCACTATGTAGACCAGGCTGGCCTTGAACTCAAAGAGATCCTCCTGCCTCTGCCTCCCGAGTGCTGGGATTAAAGGCATGTGCCACCACGCCTGGCCTATAATGGCTATTCTTAACCTTCCTTTCGCCAAGCCTTCCAAACCTCTTAATTAAAGATAAAGCCAAAGAGCAGGTTGATGATCATTGTGGTAATCTATGAGTTAATGGGCCTGTGAGTCTCAAGCATCATTTATTTTCATTAATTGTTTTTAGTTAGCATATATAATAATAGCTTCCATTATGAGGGGTTTTTGGCCATATAATTGTATTTTGCTCATGTTCCACCTCCCTTACCCTCTCTTGTCCCTGTCTTCCACTGGTCTCTTTCCTCCTCCCAAATAGCCTCTTTCTGCAAATACTGTTTAAAAACATCTGAGCCGGGCATGGTGGTGCATGCCTTTGATCCCAGCACTTGGGAGGCAGAGGCAGGCGGATCTTTGTGAGTTCGAGGCCAGCCTGCTCTACGTAATGAGTTCCAGGACAGCTGGGGCTACAAGGGAGACCCTGTCTCAAAAAGACAAACAAAAAAACAAATCTGAATGATAGCCCATCCCTGTAATTTCATTACTCAGGAGGCTGAGGCTGGAGGATCTCAAGTTCAAAGCCAGTCTGGGCTGCATACAGAGACCCTGTCTCAAAAACTGGGAAAGAAAGGAAAAGAAGGGAGGGAAGGAAGACAGGCCAGAGCTCAGTGGCGGACTGCTTTCCTAGCATATGTGAAATCTTACTTTTGATTCTCAATGCCACAGGAAGTAAAAATTGATCCAATTGTGTGGGTTTTTTTTTAATGTGTATGAGTGTGTTGCCTGCATATGTGTAAGTGCACATGCTGCACTTGTGTTGTGCAATACCCAAGGAGGTCAGAAGAGAGTTACAGACTTCTTAGCTGTCATATGGGTGCTAGGAACTGAACCCACATTCTCTGCAAGACCAGCTAGTGCTCTTAATGCTGAGCCATCTCCCCAGCCCCAATAAGGTTTTTCTTTTGAGGGGGGGTCTTTTTGAGACAGGGGTCTCCCTGTAGCCCCAGCTGGCCTGGAACTCACTATGTAAACCAGGCTGGCTTTGAACTTAACAGAGATCCACCTGCGTCTGCCTCCCGAGTGTTGGGATTAAAGGTGTAGGTCACCATGCCCAGCCCTAATAAGTTTTAAAATCAGTAAATATCAACCAGGTGTAGTGGTACAGGTCTTAATCTCAGCACTTGGGAGGCAGAGTTCCAGGCCAGCCAGCTCTATGTAGTGAGGCCCTGTCTTAAAAAAAACAAAAAGCTAGGGAGCTGGAGAGATGGCTCAGTGGGTAAGAGCATTGGTTGCTTTTGCAGAGGGCCTGGGTTCAGTTCCCAGCACCCACATGGAAGTTAACCACTGGCAGGGGTAAATCCAGTTCCAAGGGATCTGACACCCTCTTCTGGTATCCATGGACATTGTAGGCACATAGTGCATTTAAATACATGCAGGCAAAATACTCATAAAGTAAAAATAAATAAAAATTTTTAAAAATTTAAAGAAGCTATCAGTATATATATGCTCAGGTTCTACAGGATGAAAGCAAAGATCCGGGTATACTGGTGGAGAAGGGTAGTTTGCGAAACTTTTCATTTTTTGTTACCCATACGCTATTAGTTTATATGTATTTTAGTGTGGCTCACTGTTTAATTCTTGAAAAGCACTGACAGATGAATGCTTTGCTTTTTTGAATCCCCTTACTCCAAAGAAAAAATTACTGCCATAATTGTGTGTTTTTTAAAACATTTTAATCCACACTAAGATTTTACTACCTGACCCATACAGTTTACTATTTGATATGCTCTGATGTTTTCAATCCATTTTAAGATGTTTTTATTAACTGCTTATGGGTTGAGATCTACAGTTTAAAAACTACTGTGTCCAGATAGGCTTCTCAGAATTCATGAACCATAAGATCACCCAAGCTGATAAAATGATTATCACTGTTCTCTGAATCTAGAGAGAGAGAGAGAGAGAGAGAGTGTGTGTGTGTGTGTGTGTGTGTGTGTGTGTGTTTCATTTTTGGTTTTTTGAAACACTCTCACTCTGTAGCCTGAGTTAGTCTTAAATTTGTGGAGATCCTCCTGCTTCAACCTCCTAATTGTGGTTGAGAGGGGCCATTGCCAGGCAGCCCAGGCTAATTCCAAATTCACAGTCCTCTCCCTTCATCCTCTCAAGTGCCTGGATTACAGATGTGCACCACCATGCCCAGTTTTTGTTTCTTTCTTGGAATCTTTTTTTTTCTTTAAAAAGATTTATTTTTATTCATACAAGTGTTTTTTTATTATTTTTATTTTATGTGTATGCATGTATTGCCTGCATGTAGGTAAGTGCACCCGTGTCATGCAGTGACTGTGGAGGTCAGAAAAGGTGTAACGGACAGTTCTTAGCTGCCATGTGGGTGCTGGGATTTGAACCCTGGGTCTTCTGCAAGATCACCCAGTGTTCTAACAGCTGAACCTTCTCTCCAGCCCCTGTACAAGTTTTGATTGCCTGTGTATATGCTGGTATGTGCATAGTGTCCACAAAGGTCAGAAGAGGGCGCCAAAGCTGCCATGTGGGTGCTGGGAATCCAAACCAGTCCTCTGGAAAAGCAGCAAGGGCTCTTAAGCCCTGAGCCACCTCTCCAGCCCTTTTTTTAAGGTCTCACTCTGTAGCCCTTGCTGGCCTGGAACTCCCAAAGATCCGCCTGCCTCTGCCTTTCTAGTGCTGGGACTAGAGCTGTGTGCCACAGTGCCTGGCCACAGTCTGGTGGTTGTCGTTGTTGTTGTTTTGTAGCCCCAGCTGGCCTGGAACTCACTATGTAGATCAGGCTAGCCTCAATCTCATAGAGATCTGCCTCTCAAATGCTGGGACTAAAGGCTTGCGCCAACAGTGCCTGGCCACGATCTGCTTTTACTTAGCACTGCCCTTCTTTTCTGTAATACTTTCTGCCTAACATTGATCTCTTTGTCCTTCATCCCTTTCTTCGTTTCCTGTGTTTCTTTATATATTAAGTACATGTGGAAGCAATTAATTAGTTGTTACTATAGCATTGGTGGCTTTTAGTAAGGTTCTTTGTGACTTATTTACTTTTCAACTGCTTCTCTAAATAGCTGGTTTCTTGCATATCTTTCTGTATCCCTTCTTTACGGTTAGATTCTTCCTACTTTTTTGTTTTGTTTAAGATAAGTCCTTATGTAGTCCAGAACTAGCCCAAACTTAGTATGTAGCTGATGATGACCTTGAACTCCTGATCCTCCAGCCTCCACTTTTCTAAGTCCTGTGATTATAGATATTTGCCACTATGCCCAGTTTATGCAGTGCTGTGGATCGAACACAGGGAGTGTGCGTGCTAGGTATGATGGTTTAAATGAAAAGTGTCTCCCACAGGTTCAAGTATTTGTACTGTTTGTCAGTTGGTGGTGCTGTTTGGGAAGGGTCATGGAACCTAAAGATGTGAGCTTGCTTATAGATGTGAGTTCTCAGCTTTTCTGCTGCCACCTCCACTGCCATGCCTTCCAACCACAATGGACTCTTGTCTCTCTGGAACCATAAGCCTAAATAAACTTTTTCTTTTATAAGTCACTTTGGTCATGGTGTTCTATCACAGCAACAGTAAAGTAACTTATATGCTAGGCAAGCTCTCTACTAACCGAGCTATATCCTCAACTCTTTTCTGGTCTGTTTTTATTTTTTAGGACTGGAGACCTGAAACCAGGGCTTCATGCATACTAGGCAAGTGCTCTACCACAGAGTTACAGCCCCAGCCCAAATCCTTCCTGATTGAAATCTCTTGTCACCTCATCTCTGTGATCCTAAAGTTAAATCCATTACCTTCTCTCATAAGCCATCTTCCCAATACCTAGCTCATGTGTTGGTCCTGTCTGTCTACCAGGTATATGTGGAAAATGATTTTTTTTTTTTTTTTTTGTCTTTTTGAGACAGAGTCTCCCTGTAGCTCCAGCTGTCCTGGAACTCACTATGTAGACCAGGCTGGCCTCAAACTCACAAAGTTGCCTCCCAAGTTCTGGGACTAAAGGTGTGCGCCACCACGCCCGGCTGGAACATAATTCTTGAAGCGTTTCCCTTTTATTTGTATTTTATGTGTATGCATGTTTTTCCTGCATGTATTTAAGTGCACCTCGTGTGAGCCTGGTGCCCATGAAGGCCAGAAGAGGGTGTTGAATCCCCTGGAACTGGAGTTACAGATGGTTGTTAGCCACGACATGGGTGCTGGGAATTGAACCTGGGTCCTCTGCGAGAGCAGTCAGTACTCTTGACTGATGAGCCATCTCTAGGCCCCACTCAAGTTGCTTCTGGGCAAATATTTTCATTTTTTAGATAAATGCCCTGCAATGGAATTACTAGGTCATAGGGTACATATTATATGTAATGTTAAGAAAAATTTCCCGACAGTTTTCTAGGGAGTTATACCATTTTACCTTTCCACCTGCAGCAGTGGAACATCCTAGTTGCTCCAGGCATTTGCCAGCTCTTGCTGGTGTTAGTTCATTTAGACTTAAACTGATCATTAGTTTCAACATAGCACTTTGCTCTTGCTTCCTTGTATACTGCTCCTTTCTAAAGTTTGTCTTGTATCTTGATTGTAAATGTTCACTTGAAAGTTTGTTGGCAAGACTGAACTGCTTTTTTTTTTCTTTTAGAGATGGAGTCTCCCTGTAGCCCTAGCTGGCCTGGAACTCACTGTGTAGACCAGGCTGGCCTCAAACTCAGAAAGATCCACTGGCTTCTGCCTCCCAAGTGCTGGGATTAAAGGTTATGCCACCACACCTGGCAAGACTGAACCACCTTTTTTTTGCGGGGGGGTATTTTTTAGATAGGCTCTCCCTGTAGCCCCTGAAACTCCCAGCTAACCTGAAACTCACTATGTAGACCAGGCTGGCCTTGGACTCACAGAGGTCTGCCTGCCTCTGCCTCCCAAGTGCTGGGATCAAAGGCGTGTGCCACCATGAACCACTTTTATTTTTTTAAGATTGATTGATTGATTTTTGTGGTTTTGTGCCTGTATATGTATGCCATGTGTGTTCCATGCCTGAAGGAGCCAGAAGAGGATGTCTAATCCTGTGGAGCTGGAGTTCCAGGCAATTGTAAGCCACCCCACTCAAGTGCTGGGAACTAAACTCCAGTCCTCTGAAAAAGCAGCACTCTGTTAACAGCCACTGAGCCATCTCTTCAGCCCCCCATCACTCTTTTTAAAATACTTTATTTTATTTTATGTGTATGAGTGTATTGCCTGCATGTATATGAGTGCACCCATGTCGTGCATTGCCACGGAGGTCAGAAGAGGGCTTTGGATTCCCCTGGAACTGGAGTTAAGGACAGTTAGTAGCTGCCATGTGGGTGCTGGGAATTGAACCCGGGTCCTCTCCAAGACCAGTCAGTGCTCTTAACTGCTGAGCCATCTCTCCAGCTCTCCCCCCACTGCTTTTTTTTTTTAATCTCCTTTAGGACTTACCCTTAGGTTCACCATATGTTTGTTAAATTGCATTAAATGTATTGCCAGGCCATAGTGATCAGCTTTGAGAGAAGAAACATCTTGTATCAGGAATATCTTTTAGGACTGGGGAGATGGCTGCGTAGGTAAGAGCACTTGCTCTGCAAACATGAGGACAAGAATCCAAATCCCCAGCACTCCTGTAAAAACCTGGGCATGGCTGAAACCCCAGCATTGAAAGGTGGAGACAGGTAGGTCCTGGGAACCCAGCCAGCCTATCAAAACACCTAGCTTCTGGTTCAATGAGAGACCCTGTCTCAAGGCAATAAGGCAGGACACCCAGCCTCCTGCTCTGGCCTGCACACACACCTGCACACTCGTGTGCTTGCCTCCTCTGCCAAAATAACTAAATAAAAAGATCTTAAAACCCCATGTGAAGCCAAACATGGTGGTACACACCTTTAATCCCAGCACTTGAGAAGCAGAAGCAGGTGGATTTCTGAGTTCTAGGTCAGCTGGGCCTACTGGGAGACCCTGTCTCCAAAGACGAATGAATGAATGAATGAATGAATACTAAAACCAGGTATGGTAGTGCAATGACTGTAATCGGTCCATTGGGGAGGCCAAGGCAGGTGAGTTATGAATTCAAGACCAGTCTGTGCTCCATAGTAAGGTTCAGGCCAGTAATAAGACTCTCTCTGTGTGTGTGTGTGTGTGTGTGTGTGTGTGTGTAATTACTTTTAAATAATTTTAATTACAATTTAAAATCTACCTAAAAAAAAAAAAAAGGGTATAGCCAGGTGTGATGGTGCATGCCTTTAATTCCAGCACTCGGGAGGCAGTCAGAGCCTGCTGACAACAGGACCCTGACACTGCCCAGCACCTGATTCCTTGCATTTGATTTTGGGTTTTTACAATTCCCTCAATTAACAAAGTGAGATCAATCACCTGAGGGAGAAAAAAAATGGCTAAGAGACACAGCTAATAGAGAGAGAGAGAGAGAGAGGGAGAGAGAGAGGGAGAGAGGGAGGGAGAGAGAGAGAAACAGGTACGGTGGCATCTACCAGCAGCTCTGGCGTCTGGGAGGTGGAGGTGAGGATCAGAAGTTGAAGCTTGGCAGTCTTTCTGCAGAGCTGCTGCTGTGCAGTTGGGCCAAGCGGGCCTAACTTCTGTTTCTTGGATATGGGCAGTGGCCTCAGCATGCATTCCTGGACACTGGACTGCCTCACTTTTCAGTTCCCCCACATCCTTCTTGTTGTGTGGCTGCTTAGAAACAGCATGGGTTCCTGTCTTCTCCATATTCCTGGGATTTACAGCCTGCCCGCCCTGGGTTTTTCTTTTAAACGCATAAAAATTTCCCTCAAACCTCAAAGAAAAGTTCAAGGTTATCGTTGGCTCCATAGCAAGTTGGAGGCCAGCCTGGGGTACATGAGTCCCTGTCTCAAACAGACAAACCTTAATAGCAAAGAGAAGGGTGTGTGTATTGTTCACTCATAGACCCAGATTGTCACTCAAATTGGGGGTAGCTCGGTCTCATCACATGAACATTTTATTTAAACTTAAAACTCTTTTCCTGATTTTTGAAGCAAATCCCAGACAGCATAGCATCTGTAAAAGAATTACCACGTAGAGGCTGGAGAGATGGCTCAGCAGTTAAGAACACTGACTGCCCTTGCAGAGGACCCAGGTTCAATTCCCAGCACCCACATGGTGACTAACAGCGATCCCCAACTCCAGTTCAAGGGATCTGATGGCATTTCACGGCACAGGCACACCTACCTACATGCAGGCAGTACACTCATACACGTAAAATAAAAAAAGAGGGCTGGAGAGATGGCTCAGTGGTTAAAAGCATTGACTGCTTGCAGAGGACACGAGTTCGATTCCCAGCAACCACATGGAGGCTGTGAACCATCCTTAACTCCAGTTCCAGGGGAATCTGAAGCCCTCTTCTGACCTCCTTGGCATTGCATAACACGGGTGCACTCACATACATGCAGGCAATACACTCATACACATAAAATAATAATAAAATATTAAAAAATAAAATTATCGGAACTCTAGACCATCTAGAACCCTGTCTCCCTGTAGTCTCCTCTGCAAATTATGATTTACTATCATCAAATGATCCGTTGTCTCCTTTGTTTTTTACAGTTTGAATTTGAATCTAAGATTTATACATTGCAGCTGGGCGTGGTGGCACACGCCCTTAATCCCTGCACTCAGGAGGCAGAGGCAGGTGGATCTCTGTGCATTCAAGGCCAGCCTGGTCTACATAGTGAGTTCCAGGACAGCTGGGGCTACAGGGAGACCCTATCTCAAAAAGACCAAAAAAAAAAAGAAAAGATACATTGTAGTTGGTTAATACCAATAAGTTCCTTTAAATTAGATTCCCCTTTTCCATTTTTTTTCACATTTGATAAACTAGGTTGTTTGTCCCAAAAATTTTCTGACAATTTCATTTTTGCAGATTACAAAATTTATTTTAAAATTTTATTTATTCTCCATTTCCTGTCAATTGGTAATTAGGTCTAGAGGCTGGATTATAGTCTTGGTGTGTTATGTGTGAGAATAATTTGTGATGTTATGCTATATACTGTCAGGTGGTTTCACTGGCTCATAAGTTAGTTTTTTCTAGGTTAATTTCTTAGAAATGGAATTCTGTAGTTGAAAAGTCTGCATTTGCCCAGCATTTATGGGCAAGGTAGCACATGCCTTTAATCCCAGCACTCAGGAAGCAGAGGCAGGTGGAGCTCTATGAGTTCAAGGCCAGCTGGGGCTACAGGGAGACCCTGTCTCAAAAAGACCAAAAAAAGTTAATCTTAAAAAAATAAAAACTGGTTGAAGGTGGTTTCTGGTGTCTTGGGAGTCCTTTGAATTATCTGAATGTTGATTTCTAGACTGGATTGAAGTCTTTCTGACTTGAAGGATTGCTTTATGGTAAACTAGGACACTTGTGATTGCTGTGTTATCTTGTTATTCTTGCGGACTTGGGAAGTGAAGGGCAGAAGGAGATGATTTGTGGAATTAAGAGAATCAAGTGGTTCACAAAATTCTTCCTTACCAAAGCTGCCTGATGATACAAGTATGATAAAGGTGTTCTGATTCTCCAAGGTGGTGTTACTGAGAATGTGCATTGCTCAGAAAACAGCCCCAAGACCAAGACTTAGAATGATAGCCGGGCTTGGTTGCACATGCATGCCTTTAGTCCCAGAACTCGAGAGGCAGAGACAGGTGGATCTCTGTGAGTTCAAGGCGAGCCTGGTCTACATAGCAAGTTCAGGCCAGCTGGGGCTACAGGGAGACCTTGTCTCAAAAAGACCAAACAAAACAACTTAGAAGACAAATTGCATTTAGGCTATGGGATTTACGAAACCTTTGTCTGTTTTAGACGCTGACTGGAAAGGAGATTGAGATTGACATTGAACCCACAGACAAGGTGATGTATACCTGCCTGTGCCTCCCCATGCCTCATGCCTATGTTTGGGTATCTTTATGAACTTGGTCCTCTGCTCTCAGTGTTGTCCACACAAGACTTCTTATATTTCTATGATTCTAAGCAGCCTTTGACCACTTCTTCCTCTAAAGGTGGAGCGAATCAAGGAGCGTGTGGAAGAGAAAGAGGGAATCCCCCCACAACAGCAGCGGCTTATCTACAGTGGCAAACAGATGTGAGTCTGGGGATACACAAGCTGTGCAGCCCAACAGTCTTACGTGAAGAAGAGTGAAGAGGCAGGGGACAGGGCGGGCAGGCAGTCCAGCTCCCATGCTTGTGGGTGTGTGTGTGCCCTTCCAGCCCTTTGGCAGTTTGGTGAAGCATACCGACTCTTCTCAGAAAAGATTTTTCCAGTCATAGAGTAAAATATATAGAATTATAATAAAACCTATGTTGAAACACATTTACCAAATTACTAAAACAAATCTGTAATATATATGTGCTTCATTAGTATCTTATTGTAAGGTCTAATGATGGGTCTGATAATTGCCAAATTTTTGACAAACTTTTCAAGATAACTGCAGTTAAAAATTCAGTATAAGGGGCGGGGTGTGGTGGCTCACGCCTTTAATCCCAGCACTTGGGAGGCAGAGGCAGGCGGATCTCTGTGAGTTTGAGGTCAGCCTGGTCTCCATAACGAATCCAGGCCAGCTGGGGCTACAGGGAGACCCTGTCTTAAAAAAGACCAAAAAAAAAGGCAATATAAAAACATCCAATTTCACCGGGCTTGGTGGTACGTGCCTGTAGTCCCAGCACTTGGGAGGCAGAGGCAGGCGGATATCTGAATTCAAGGCCAGCCTGGTCTACATAGTGAGTTTCAGGCCAAAAAAAAAAAAAAAATCCATCAAATTTCTGTTGTTCATATGTTACTGTATTAACACTGTGGGTTTCTTTGTGTTTAAAATTAAATACTAAGTCACATTAGTTAGTAAAAATAAGTATTTTTCTCATCCAAGAGCTGTCTGAAACGCAGGTTACAAACACCATTCCAGACAGTGTTTCTAACGCTGTTTCCTGTCTGTAGGAATGATGAGAAGACGGCAGCTGATTACAAGATTCTGGGCGGTTCAGTCCTCCACCTGGTGCTGGCTCTCAGAGGAGGAGGCGGTCTTGGGCAATGATGGACCTTCACTGCATTTTACCTCCTTCTCCTGTTGCTCGTAACGAGGCATCACAAATCCTCTCACTCTCTGGGACACCAGAGCCACTGTCCCCTCCCTTGGATGCCCAGTCTTGTGTGTCTACTGGTGGGAGAATATGAGGACCCCAGGAAGCAGTGTTCCTGGCCCAAGTGGCCCTTGCTGGCTGTTGGGTCTTAGTTTGCAGTCCTGTGTGCTTCCCTCTCTTATGGCTGTGTCCTTGGTTGTCAATAAAATATTTCCTGGCCTCCTGGAGTCTCTTTCGCCAAATCTGACTAAAATGAAAATGGTACAGTGGCACCAGTTACCAGCCTGAAGATGTGGAGGCACACTCAGAAGGGCTTTTGTTTTGTTTTTCTTTTTTTGAGACGTGAGTCACGTGTAGCCCTGGCTGGCCTGGAACTCACTATGCAGACCAGGCTGGCCTTGATCTCAGAGATCTTCCTGCCTCTGCCTCCTGAGTGCTGGGACTAAAGGTGTGCAACACCATGCCCTGCATATTTTTTATTTTGAAACGGTTTTGATTATATATCTCCTAGGCTGGGCTTGAACTTTTGATCATCCTGCCCCAGCCTCCCAGGTAGCTGGGATTATTGTAGTCCTGTTCTGCCACTTGGCTTCAGCATGGCTTTTCAACTACAAAACACTTTGACCTCATCACAGATGAGCCTGAAGGGGGCTGCTGTTGCCTTCTCCCCACTGTACAGGTGGGCATACTGAGACCCAGACAAATGATTTCTCCAAAGTTTAAACGTCAGGTTTTTTTGTACTCCACCCAAGGAACAAGCTTGGTCAGTGTTTGGTCCCTGTTCTTTAAAAGGATTATGAGACGGGAAAAGTCTACTCAGTGCTGTGCTGGAGTCAGCTCTTATTGAGTGCCAGCTGTTGCTATCCCCAGCATCACTGATGCCTGTTGGTAGCTTGCAATTTGCCATATCACCCTGGTGTGGTGGTTCAGACCTGTAATTTCAGTATTTGTGAGTCCAAGGCATGAGGATCAAGAGTTCCTGGCCAGCCTGGGCTACATAGCAAGACCCTGTTGGGGGGGTGGGGTGTTGGGGAGAAGGAAGAAAAAGAAAATTTGCCCATGGTAAGAGTATTTCAGAAATTGGCAAGTAGTACGGATCTTTCAACAAACTAGTTAGACGTGCACCGGCATACTAGTGGGGGTGGGGGGAACCAAGGGAAGAAACCACCGTCGCTCCTGGACTCAGTCTGGTAGGAGAGTCTTAGAGCAGAGCGAGACTGGGTTTCCTTGCTGGTGCTGATCTCCGCCTGAGCATAGTAATTCCCCTGCCTAGGCCTGAACAGCTGTGGCTGGGTGCACATGGCTGGGCTGCATTTGTTCCTGCACCGTGGCTGAAGGCTGGGCCTTACAGTGTCAAGGGGCAGCTAAGAAGAAAAGACGAGTGCAGTGTGGGAAGCTCTCTGGATGATCTGGGGCTCAGTTGCAAGATACGAGAACTGCTAGGAAGAAAAAAGCCTCCGCGGTGTTGCTAGTGACCGCTTGGGTCGGGGTGGGGTGGAGACGCGGCCACGCCTCGGGACGTCTGGCCCCGGAGCCGCAGAAGGCGCTCTTCCGTCCCGAGCTGGTCCAGTCCGGCGCGGAGTCGCTCTACCGGCGTCTCGGTGGCCGGGGCAGCCCACGTGGCCACCGTGGAGGCGGTGCGGTGCAGCGGTCCCGCCGGGAAGCAGCAGCTCCGCGCCGGTCATGACCCGGTTCCCGAAGCTCGCGGTCTTTGATCTGGGTAGGGACGGCAGGGCGCTCCCTCTCCCCTCCCCAGCAGCTCTCCTGCGCCCCGGGCTGATCTCTGCTCTCCTCTCTCGCAGATTATACTCTCTGGCCTTTTTGGGTCGACACACACGTAGATCCCCCGTTCCACAAGAGCAGGTGAGGCAGGAATAGGGAGGACAGACCCCGGAGGGACCTGGCCCCAGCTGAGCGCCCTCTCGTTCCCCAGTGATGGAACCGTACGAGACCGGCGGGGCCAGAACATCCGACTGTACCCGGAGGTGCCCGAGGTCCTGGAACAATTGCATGGTCTTGGGGTGCCGGTCGCGGCCGCTTCACGGTAAGAAAAGTGACCAACAATCCTGCTAATGCACCGGCGTGCATGAGGAAATTTCACGTAACTCCTTGGGAACCAAAAGCGAGGAGACGCAAATTTACAGATATTTTCATGCATGCTTTCTGTACTTTTTAGTTCATTAAGTGTTCCAACGCCAGCCACGCCAGAATCTGTAGGGCTGAATAAGGGGTAGAGGATAACCCTCTCTCCCTCTACTCGTCCTCCATACCTGACTTCTGCATCCCTGGCCGACTCCCACCTGTTACACTTTTTTGCAGGACCGGTGAGATAGCAGGGGCCAACCAGCTACTGGAGCTCTTTGGCCTTGCCCGATACTTTGTTCATAAGGAAATCTATCCAGGCAGCAAGGTCACACACTTTGAGAGGTAGGCAGACAGAGCCAAGGGTGCCAGTCCGGAAGCGGGAATACCAGAAAGGCCAGGTGAGCCAACTTCCCCTGCTCTGTCTTCCACAGGTTGCAGCAGAAGACTGGAGTTCCTTTCTCCCAGATGGTCTTCTTTGACGATGAAAAGCGGAATATTGTAGATGTGGGCAAACTTGGTACTGAGTGCTGAGGGCAGCCATGGGGTGGGGGGTGAGAAAGGATTTGTAGGGGGTATAGAGAAATAAGCACAGGGTGACAGATGAGAGTGATAATGAAGTGTCTTTTTTTTCAAATTGTATGTATTTTTATGTGTATGAGTGTTTTGCCTGCATGCATCTAAGAGCACCACGTGGATACAGTGCCCACGGAGGCCAGAAGAGGGTGTCAGATCCCTTGGAACCAGAGTTACAGATAGCCTAGCCAGGGTGGTGGGAACCCAGCCCTAGTCCTCTTCAAGAGCAGCCAGTGCTCTTAACCACTGAGGCATCTCTCCAGGTCCAGCGAGGGGGTCTTGAAAGCCTAGTGAGATGTGACTTCTTTTCTTCTAGGTGTTACCTGCATTCACATCCAGAATGGAATGAGTCTTCAAACCCTAACTCAAGGGTTAGAGACTTTTGCAAATGCCCAAGCTGGATCCTGAGGACCAGCCATATAGATAATCCTTATCTAAGGTGTAAAACTGAAATCAAGAAGGCATTGTCAGGTGCATTTGTAATTTATTAAAGAGTATGTGTGTGAGTCAAGATTTTACCTACAGCGTGGGTTGTTTCTATTTTTCTAGCTTGTGAAATGGGTTGGGCTGCCCTGAGGTGTCCAGACCAGAGGGTGAAACATTAGACTGCATCAGGCCTGTGCCTTATAAATTTGTGGTGGCCTTAAGGCTGATTCCCAGCACTCTGGAACCCATCCGCAGCCCTGTCGAGAGTTCTGCGAAGTGCATGAAGTCTGCACTGCTTCACATAATGGAGTGCCACTCCCTGCACACTTCCTTTCAATGAACGAAAACAAATACTAGGGGGCGAGGGTTCTTTTGGTTGTAGGAAATAACGCGGCGGCTTTAAGAGGAGAGCTGTGCAGGGGCTGGGGGCTGGACACGTGACAGTCTGGGTGGTCTTATTAGCGCCGGTTGATGATGTCGCTGCTACGCCCTAAGGATGGATTGGCCAACGCCTGTCTCGGAGTGATGATACTCGCTGTCCCGGGAACTAGGCGGAAGTGTGGAGCACGCCGAGGGGCGGAGGCGGAGAGGCCAGGCGCAATGAGTGGGCTCAGCCGACTCTTCGGGAGGGGTGAGCCTGGGAGAGACTGGGCCTCCGGGAGGTGCTGGCCGGAGGGGTTAGGGAGGACCGCGGTGCGTGTCAGGCGAGAGACCCGGCAGACAGGCTGACCCTCATCCCCGGTGCCAGAAGTCCCCCACTTGTTAAAGCCCCTGCGTCCCAAGTCCGAGAGGGGATGTCAGTGGAGCGTGTGGCAGCTGTTACCTCCGAGGCGCAGGCTTGGGGGACTAGTTCCTAACTGTTTGCATCCAGTCTTTCCTGAAACATCGAAGCTGACTTTGTGGTGAGCAAAGGAGATCTAAAGTGAAGAAAAAGGCCATCTTCCTTAAGCTTGTATCTGGTGGTGTAAGTGTGACAAGAGGCGTTGACTGTGTAGTGTGGCAGCTCAGTGATGGAGATGGGCCTAAAACACCAAGACAGCAGCAAAGGAGCTGGCAATGATGTTCCAAAGGGCTAACAGTGTGCCAGGTGGAGAGTGTGGCACCTCTGGGAAGGAGTGAAACAGGAAATAGAGGTTCTGGCTACTGTGTGTTGTGGGGTGTGTAAAGGGGGACCGGAAGTAGAAGCACTGATGGGGCCAGACCATGGAGGATCTGGTATGCCCCCTAAAAAGTTTTAGATTTTTATTCTGTAGGCAGTGGACAGTATGGAAGGATTTTAAGCAGGCAGAGGCCATCGAGTCTTTATTTGGAAAAAATGAGTTAAAATATAGATGAAGAGACTGAAGTTCCATTCCCCTCACCCCATGCTTGGTGTAGCTTGATAGTGTGGAGCCGGGACCTTTGGCAGCTCCCAGGACAGCCAGTGGAACCATGGCTATAAACATGACTTGAAGTTTGGGATAACAAAAAGAATACAAGCTGATTGCTACTCTTCTTTTGAGACAAGGTCTTACTATGTAGTCCTGGCTAACCTGAACTCATGTGTAGCCCAGGCTGACGTCAAGCATGTAGCAGACTTCTGCCTCAGCCTCCCGAGTGCTGGGATTACAGGCGTGTGCCACTAGGCCTGATGCCATATTTTGATTACTACCTAATTTCTGCTGGTTATAACTTTAGACAAAAACATCATCTTTGTGGTTGCTTTCACATTTGTCAAAGGAAGCTAATACGTTCATTGTAAAAAAGCATTTAGAGATGAGCAGTAGCAGTCAAATGCTCAGGCTACACCGTACTCAGTGACTGATGGCTAGTACTTTGCCTTCACACAATATGGACTTGCTCCACTGGACTCTTTAGGGAAGAAGGAAAAGGGGCCAACCCCAGAAGAAGCAATACAGAAACTGAAGGAGACAGAAAAAATACTGATCAAGAAACAGGAGTTTCTAGAGCAAAAGATTCAACAGGAGCTACAGACAGCAAAGAAGCATGGGACCAAGAATAAGCGAGGTAATGAGGGAAAGGAGCTGCTGGGGAGGGTCCAGTGGGAAACGGGCGAGGAGGGGGGCATTCTGACTGATGTTCAGGGTGTTGGCAGCCGCCCTGCAGGCTTTGAAGAGAAAGAAGAGGTTGGAACAGCAGCTGGCACAAACTGATGGGACATTATCCACCCTGGAGTTTCAGCGGGAGGCCATTGAGAATGCCACCACCAATGCGGAAGTGCTTCGTACCATGGAGCTGGCTGCCCAAGGCATGAAGAAAGCCTACCAGGACATGTGGGTATGGGGGAAGAGACAAGGGGAGGTGGGAACTGGGGAGGTGGCAGTGCTTTAAATTTATTTATTTGGTCTTTTTGAGACAGGCTCTCCCTATAGCCCCACCTGGCCTAGAACTCACTACGTAGACCAGGCTAGCCTTGAACTCAGATCTGTCTGCCTCTGCCTCCCAAGTGCTGGGATTAAAGGCGTGCGCCACCACACCCAGCCTTTCTACTTTGAACTATTAAAACCTTTCAGAATGAATATACATCATGCCATGCTTTTGATAGCTAGACTGCATCCTTTTACTAGTTGGGAATTCTGAGGAAGAAAAAATTCTCTCTCTCTCTTTCTCTGTCTTCATTATGTAGATACTATCTCCTTATGTTTAGATGAACCTGTCTCTGCCTCCCAAGTGCTGGGACTAAAGACATGCACCACCACACCCAACTTAAAATATATTTTTTAAAGATAGGATCTCACTGTCTAGCCCTGGCTGGCCTGAAACTCAATATGTAGCTAGGCTGGCCTCGAACTCATAGAGCTCTACCCACCTTTGCCTCCCAAGTGTTGGGTGCCAGGATTAAAGGCATGCATCACTATGCCCAGCACCTGAACATACTCTTTAGGGGAAGAAGTATATATCAACATAAAGCCATAAAGACTTTGTGTGAGGTGAGAGAAGCCACCTGATTCCCTGGCTGTACATCTTTCCTCAGGGACATTGACAAGGTAGATGAACTGATGGCAGATATCACGGAACAGCAGGAACTGGCCCAGCAGATTTCAGACGCCATTTCTCGCCCTGTGGGTTTTGGAGATGATGTGGATGAGGTAATTAGGGCTGAGGGGTCAGGGAATACTGGAGAAATACATGGAACTGGTCAGAAGGGCCAAGAGAGGCTCTTGGGACGTTTGGGAGGAAACTCCAAAAGCGATCTGTTAGGGGAACTGGATGTTGCTCCTTTGTGTTGACCAGTCTTGTCATCCCGTATCCAGGACGAACTATTGGAAGAGCTAGAGGAGCTGGAAGAGGAAGAATTAGCCCAGGAGTTGTTAAATGTGGGCAACAAAGAGGAAGAACCCCCAGTCAAATTGCCTAATGTTCCTTCTACACATCTGCCTGTGGAGCCAGGTACCCAGTGTTCTTGGTTAAGGGCTTGAGAGGGTAGGAAGATAGGAGGTAAGATTATTCCTATCTGTCCTGTCACAAAGGTCAGATCCAGGCAGAAAAGGGCTGCTGACTGTGTGCCACCATCTGCCTAAAAAGAGTGGGGGCTAAAACACAGGATGCAGCCAGTATCCCACCCAGAAAACTGTACACCCTGATTGGGGCTGCGACTGTGAATAGTAGGCCTGTTTTCCCATGTGTACTGGGGTGCTGTGGGGGTAGGCAGCAGCCCATTCTGCAGGACCTCACCTTTAATTTTTTCACTGGAGACAGTTTAGCAGGCAGTAGGTGTCAGAGCAGGGGATGGCTGGAAGCTGCTAAGGCTTTAATTTTTTTTTTCTTTTCTGGGTATTCTCATCCCCAAAGCTCCCAAAGCAGATGAAGAGGAAGAAGCGTTAAAAGAGTTGGCAGACTGGGTATCCTGAGGAGTCCGGGCTTGTCTTCCTACCGCTGCCTGCATTGGTTCCTTTTCCTTAAGTGCCACATACTGAGCTAAAGGAGTGAAGCTTTGGGGGGATTTCCTGCTGCGGTGATAGTGCTACTGAGAAGGGCCCATTGCTGACCTTTGAAGAAGGATCTTGCTGCAGAAGGAGCCCATGGGCTCCGTTCTCTTTGATAGCAGAATGTTTTTCTTCCCAATAAAATTGGGTAGATGGATTCATAGTGTCTATACTTTTTTTCTGGTCTTTTTGAGATAGGGTTTCTCTATATCTCACTATGTAAACCAGGCTGGCCTTGAACTCACAGTGATCTGCCTGTCTCTGCCTCCCAAGTGCTGGGGTGTCTATAGTATTTTATCTACACCTGAGAGTCTTTCCCCTGGTTCCTAGAGCCTTGTTTCAAGAAGTGAATAATAATGAGTAATGAAGAGGAGCTGGGACAGAAATGGGCATTTTCAGTATCTCAAATTATGCTTTGGGCACAGTTTTACCTTTCCGTTGGTTTGTCATAGAATTGCTAGTGTTAAGGTTAAGAAATTGCCAGCAATGTTGGATATGGTGATGCACACCTTTAATCCCTGCACTCAGATGGGAGAAGCAGGTGAATCTCTTGAGTCTGAGGCACATGCCTATAATCCCAGCACTCTGGAGGCTAAGGCAAGAGGATTATGAATTTAAGGCCAGCCTGGGCTACATAGGGAGTTCTAAAATATTCCAGGCTTCATAGCAAGACTGTCTCAGGGAGGGGAGTAAGGTAGGGAGTGAATTGGGGTGTAGGAGAGCAGGGTGGGTGGACAAGTTACTTTCCTTTCTTTAGAATTCAGTTGACCCAGGCGTGCGCACACCTTCAACCCCAGCATTCGGGAGACAGAAGCAGGTGGATCTCCGTGAGTTCAAGGCCAGCCTGGTCTACATAGTGAGTTCCTGGCCAGCTGGGGCTATAGGGAGACCCTGTCTCAAAGAGACCCCCCCCAAAAAAAATCAGTTGATAGCTTTCACCACTAGACTTGGTTTGAACTGACCACGTCAGTGTCTAGAAGCACCAGTTGGAGAAGCCCTAAATCCTTAATATTCAATAGCAGTTATGGTGGCCCTGGAGAAAGAAGGAACCAAGGTACTAAGTACACCCTGATATTCAATGTGAAAGAATGAACAATGCAAACCCCAGGCCTTTCCCAGAGCCCAACAGAACGTCTGCTCTTCTATCAGCAAGTTTCTAGAAACTAGTGCTGTTCCCTTTTCTCAGCCTCTTTTCTTTGCAGTTAAAACTGTTGCCTAAGGCAGAAGGGAACAAAACCCAAAAGAATGATTGTGGACGGGCAGATTCAAAGTGAGACAACCAAGGTGCTTTTTGTTTTTTCTTCTTGTTCCATCCACTGCTAGAACATTAGAGAACAAAGATGTGAACTAAGAGCTCCCCCAAGTTAGGTGTTAATGTGAAGTCTCATTAACTTAAATAGGTATCAAGATTATTGGCTACAGGCTTTAGGCATAAATCACTTCTTTCAGTAGCATGCCCCACAGAGATTCCCTTGAGGAAAGAATGTTGTGAAACTAAATCAGAATTAGATTTTATATTGTTTTGGGATTTATTTTGGTTTTTTACCCCAGACCTTTCTGCTTTGCTCCTTACCCCCCTGCCTCAGCCACTTTCAAGTCCTGATTTCCAAGGATTGGTGATGATTAGTGGTAGTGCCGGGGGGCTGACACATGGCCTCAAGCAGCCTGATTTCGTGGGTGGGTTGCTCAGGCTGGAACTTAAGCACCCAGGGATCCTTGAGGATGTCCAGGATGGTAGCACGCCTGGGAGCTTGGCGTAGCATCTGGAGGATCAGGTTCTAGGGTGGGGGAGAGAGAGGGCTTGGCTGAGCTTGTCCCCCATTGTGCCACAGACTATATGCAGCTGAACCTAAGAAAGAAGCAGGATAGCCTATCATACTACTCTGGTGGAAGGGGCTAGGGACCTGGCTTTATGCTGGAACCAAGCGCCCCCTGGAAGAAAATGGAAGAGCTCCTTGGAGGGAACACCTTACGCAGTCAATCCCCTTCCAGCCTAAAAGGATTGATGCTGGAACCTGCTTACCAAGCCTATTAAGGTCTGAATCTTGGTGGTTGACCCTGTTAAATAGCCACCTCCCCCTCCCACACACCATTATAGGCAGGAGCTAGAAATGGCTGTCATGGAATGATCCTTCCCCCAGAAGCCTAGATTTGGTATTTCTTCTCCCTCCCCCTGGGTCATATCTAGGGCCTCAGCCCTCCTGGGGGAGCCAGCACCTTGCATTCCTGGGAGACGGTGAGGGTAGTTGGGAAAGTGATCTCCTTCTGAGTCTCTCGCAGCAGCTTCTTGAGATTGGTGTCATCAAAGGGCAAATGTGCAACCACTAGAGTGTAGAGGATGACGCCCATGCTCCAGATGTCAGACAGGAAAGGGTTGTAGGGAAAGCCTAGCAAGATCTCTGGGCAGGCATAAGCAAAGCTGCCACAGTAGGTCTGGCTGAGGTGGGTAGGGCAGTTCACTTGGCGGTAAGAAGGGCTACTACGCACAGGCTGGTTAGAAGGCACCATCTTGGCGAAGCCAAAGTCCGATATCTTCACATTCTCCTTCTTGTCCAGCAACAGGTTCTCCAACTTTAAGTCCCTACCAGCAGCAGAAAGGCTGGGGATCAGGCTGGGGAGAGGGCTTAGTATTAGACCGGGAGCTGAAGGGAAAGGGGTCAGAGGCTACAGATGAGGATAAGTGGGAACAAGATGTCATCACGTGAGATAAAGAGAAAGGAAAGCCATGGAGTTGTGAGTGGAGACCAAAAGGGAGAGAGGAATGGTACCTGAGGACCACTAGTTCACCACTGTGTGTAAAGAGCTCTCACACAGTGGATACAAGTGTCCTTGACCAGATGTTTAAGATATAGTGAACGAATGGACCTAGATATTGAGAAATCAAGGGAGGAGAAAAGGGCAGAAAATGGGCATTATGCATAAAACCCTCTTGAAATCCCAAAGGCCCAGTCTAATGACTGCCCTCACCGGTGTACGATGCCCTTGCTGTGTAGGTAGGCGATGCCCAGGGCCACCTGGGAGAACCACTTGCCAGCAAGGGATTCAGAGCAGGCCCCATAGCGCTGGATCCAGTCAAGGACGTCACCACCCTGAGCCAGCTCCAAAATGATGTATACTCGGGAGGTGTTCTCAATAGCCTGATAGAAGTTGATGAGGTACTTGTGCCGTAAGACTTTCATCACCTGATCCCAGAAGGAACCATCAAACCCGATGAACTGTGCACCTAACCCTTCCCTGCCCTCCCACTGCTACTTAGAACTTTGCAGCAGATTCAACTTGAGCTGGTGTCTGGGTAAATCTTACTTTGCATTTCTGCTTGGGGAGGGGGCAGTGCATTGGATGTGAATGGGTACATGGGAAAGAGGTTGAATATACATTAAGGGATTTTTTTTTCTACTTACACCTTTAGTTCTGGTTTGGGGCTTTCTGGCTCCACCTCTTTCTAGTCATCCTTAGAAACCTCAAGTAGCTTATTACTAAGTCCCAGTTCCCTCTTACAACTTTCTGACCTGTATCTCACGTGGCAGAAACTTGTTAAGATAGTCATCAGAAGCCTTCTTCTTTGAGATGATCTTGACAGCCACATTAACCTTCTGCTTTGTGTAGTAAGCCTCATACACAGTTCCATAGGAGCCATGGCCAATGATCTTACCCACTTCATAACCATATTCCTCCATGACAGAGCGATAGGCTGGGGTAACTGATGTTGTATCTGTGGTATTTCCCTTCCCCATGGTGTTGGGCTTGCTCAGTGGGGGATCTGCTACTTGGAAGCCTCTGTCTACTCAGAGGCCACCTTGAGACACTAAAGGCAAGTGAAGTTAGTCTCCTAATGTTCACCTAGTCACACAAGTCTGGGATGCTGGGCTCAGCCCTCTACTAAGAACTTGGAAGGGGAACGAAAGGAACATTCTTTTTGTCTTCCCTGGCTGTTACTTCCATGTCTTGGTTACAGAATTCCCAAGGTCCCAGGTTCCACACACTTTTTATTCGTCATTGATCGCAAAGCTTGAAAATGAAGTATAGTTTGGAACATATTCATTCCCAAAGGCACTTGACACAATCTGGTGAGACACCCCCATGGTCCCTTCATTTGACTGAGTACCTGTCATGTACTAGACAATATATAGAATACTAAGACAAACTAATGAACAAAGGCCAACAGAGTACCTATGCTCCTAGATGTACAATCCAGCGTGAGAAACATGACAAGCACAGAACCACAAGGTACCAATGCGTATGCCAGGGATTTACTTGAGATGCATTCTGGCTTCTATAATACTTAACTTCCTAGTTCTCATTAGGCTTCTAGCTGTGGGAGCATCATACTGTTCTCCATCATTATTTTCTTTTTCTTAATATTTTATTATTTTTAATGTGTATGAATGTATTGCCTGCATGTAAGTGGACCCATGTTGCACAATGCCCACAGAGATCAGAAGAGGGTGCTGGATCCCCTGGAATTGGAGTTATAGACAGCTCTTAGCCATCATGTGGATGCTGGGAATCGAACCCGGGTCCTCTGCAAGAGCAGCCATCTCTTTAACTGTTGAGCCATCTCTCCAGCCCCCCATTATTTTATTTTTCATTGCTGGAGATTAAACCCAGGGCCTTTTATATGCTAGACAAGCACTCTACCACTAAACTACATCACCCAGCCCCAAAAGAACAAAGCAAGCGCCACAGAGGACACCTGATGTCCTTCTCTGGCCTCCAAGTGAGCACAGGCACACATCTGACTATCCCTTAATCATACCCCAAAGGTTCTGTCACAAGCCTTATTCTCAGACCTTCACATCCTCCCTTATGAATCTTATACTCCCAAAGCTTCAATTATCACATTTCTGCTGATGGCTCCTCATGTCACCTCCAGCCCAGGTACTTACTGAGTTCTAGATATAGCCTGCTCACCAAATATCACAGGAACACGTCCTCTGTATGTACTGCAAACTCATACCCCAAACTGAGCTGTTCTCTCAGACTGCCCATGTTGTCCTGAATCTTATTTATGTGTGTATGGGTACCTGAGGAGGCCAGAAGAGGGTGTCCAATCACCAAGAGCTGTAGTTACAGAATTTGTGAGCCACTTGAGGTGGGTGCTAAACATTGAACTTGTGACCTCTAGAAGAGCAGCAAATGCTGTTAACCAGTGTTATCTCCCTGGCCCTTATCCTGAATTTAGATATACAAATGTCATACCAGCTGGGCATGGTGGCACACGCCTTTAATACCAGCACTCAGGAAGCAGAGGCAGGAGGATCTCTGTGAGTTCAAGGCCAGCTTGGTCTACATAGTGAGTTCCAGGACAGCTGGAGCCACAGGGAGACTCTGTCTCAAAAAGACCAAAAAAAAAAAAAAAACCAAAAACCCACAAATGTCATACCAGCCTTGGTGCCTACATCCAATGTATTACAAAATCCTGTCTCTTCAACCTCATTTTCTCAGTAATAATGTACTCACAGGGGCTGGAGGGGTTAACAGTGTTTACTATGTAAGCATGAGGACCAGAGTAAAGCCTATGGAGCATTGCATCTATGTAAAAGCCCACTGTGGTCCCAATACTGAGTAGGGTGGAAACAGGAGGATCACTAGGGCTTGCTGGCTCCCAGTCTAGCCAAAAAATGCAGGTTGTGGGTTCAGTGAGAGATGCTGCCTCAAAGGAACAAAGCAAGAGCAACAGAGGATGCCTGATGCCCTCCTCTGGCCTCCATGTGCACACAGGTACACATACTTGCACACACTCCCACACACCGTGCACACACACTCTCTCTCTCTCTCTCTCTCTCTCTCTCTCTCTCTCTCTCACACACACACACACACACACACACACACACACACACGCCCATATACCATACACACATAAACCCAAAATAATACACTCACAACTCTGGACCCACCACCATTCCTGCTTAGCTCGACTCCATCATTAACGGATTGCCTTTGCAAGTCTGCTGCTCCCCTCCAGTTTGTTCACCCTCCAGTTGAAGGCATGTATCTGATGCATGGCTGTGTGGGTACATGTGTCTATACATGCAGAGGCCAGCACAGGCCATCTGGTGGGTCTTCCTTCACTGTCTACCTTACTGTCTTGAGACAGTCTGTTAATGAACTGGAAGCTCATCATTTTGGCTAGACTGGCTAGTCAGTGAAGGCTCTGGATCCACCTGTCTCTACTGCCCAATGCTGGAATAGGCATGTTTCGGCCATACTTTTTACATGGGTGCTAGGGATTTGATTCCGGTCTTCATGTTTGCAGAGCAAACTCTCTTACCCACTGAGCCATCTCCCCAACTTCATAAATCTGATTTTTATTTCCATTTAAAATAATTAGTGCTGGAGAGATGGCTCATCTGGTAAGTGTGCTTGTGGTTCTTGCAGAGGACCTGGGCTCAGTTCTTAGCACCCACATGGTGGCTCACAACCACCTGTAACTCCAGTTCCAGGGGATCTAACACTTCTAGCCTCTGCAGGCTCCTGTATGAATGTAGTGTACATAAATTCACACAGGCAAACATACCTACACATAAATAAATCAATCTAAAACAATTCATTGTCTCAGGGTCAAGTTCTTTAATTTAGCCCTAAAATAACCTTGTCTATCCAGTTTTGCCTTTTATTGTTCTTCTGATATGGGATCTAGGATCTCATATGTATCCTTAGGCTGGCCTTGAACTTGGAAGTCCTTCTGCCTCTGCTTCCCAAATGCTAGGATTACAACCATGTGCTTATTTTGTTGTTTAGAAAAAAGGCTATCACTCTGTATCCCAAGCTGGCCTCAAATTTTCTATTTCCTGCCTCGGCCTCACTAGTCCTTTTCTCTCTCTCTCTCTCTCTCTCTCTCTCTCTTTTTTTTTTTTTGGTCTTTTTGAGACAGGTCTCCCTGTAGCTGCAGTTGGCTAGGATTCACTATGCAGAACAAGCTGGCCTCGAACTCAGAGATCTGGGGTGCTGGGATTAAAGATGTGTGCCGCCACACCCGGCAACTGGTCCTTTTTGCTTCCCCCCCACCCTTAAATTCCACAGATTGGATCTAGGGTCTCATACATGCTAAACAAATAAATGTCCTACTACTGAGATACATCCCCAGTGTTTTTTTTTTTCCCCAACATTTTTTTAAGACAGTTTCACTAAGTTGACCAGGCTGGCCTTGAGCTTCTTCTGTAGCCTAGACAGGCAATGAACCTTCAATCCTCCTCTCTCAGCCTCCTCAGTAGCTGGGATAACAGGCCTGTGCCACCAGGCCCAGTTCCAAGTGTAGAAACCAGGATGGCATGCCCTAGGGTGAGATGAGCCTAAAACTTTTTAAGGCCAGGCTATGTTCTCTACTAAAGGGAGGGATGTGAAAACAGCAGCTCTAATATCCCTGTCTTGCAGAACACTGTAAGGCTAGCTAGAGAAGAGCAGCCAGGTCAAAAGTTTAGGTTCCTTGCTCTGTGGGAAAGCATCTTGGTCAACATCCCTCAGTCCACCTCCCTATCCAGAACAAATAACTCAGCTATCATTAGCTAAGAGATTAGGACAGGTTAAAGGTTTACTCCTGAGCTAAAAGCTAAAAGTTTACTATGCTTTTAGCCCTAAGAAAGAAAACATTGTGGCCAATAAATAACAAGATAGGCATTGGTAACCTTGAGTAAAAGTTCAAGCATCTTGCTGGTGTCAACTAAAAGGCCGTATGTTCTGTTTCTTTGTGCCCTAAATCTTTGTATGTAACTGCCAAACACCACCTGACTGCCAGCTCCTTGTAATGTATAAAAATCCTCTGAATAATAAACAGTTTGTTGTAAAGCACAAGTCCCAGAGTCCAGGACTCTGTCGCTGGTTGGTATCGACATCCATGAAAGCAAGGTTCCCTGCCAAGCAAGGCAGACTTGGGTCAGTATATCTAGGTCAATTTATTTTCACACACATAGGCATAATGCTCCAGTCAAAAAGAATTACATCTCCATTTTCCTTTGTTTTTTTCTGGCAAATTCCTACTTTTCCTTCAGATTAGAATCTGTTTTGTCATTGTTTAAGGGTCTCAATACGTTAAGCTGCCCTTGAATTTATCATCCTCCTGACTTAGCCTCCCAACTGCTGGGACTATAGGCATGTACAACAACTGGTCATAATTGCTTTTCTTACATCTCTTACCCTATGAGAAGTCAACTGATGAGAAGAGTTAGATGTTTGAGAAGATGAAACTGGAGAGAGACCTGTCAGGAAAGTATTTCCTGCATAAGCATGAAAACCCAAGATCTTTAGATCCTTAGTGCCATGTAAAAAGCGGGGCATTGGTATGCGCTTGTAATCCCAGTGCTAAGGAGGTAGAGACAGGAAAGTCCCTGGAGCTCACTGGCCAGACAGATAACCAAATCAGTGAACCCCAGGTTGCATGGAGACACTGAGGCTGACCTCTGCAATCCACACACATGTACACACTCATATCCACAATAAATACATTTAAAAAGTAAATGTCTGAGAACAACAGGTTGTGGAGAATGGAGAGGCGGTTTGGACCATGAGCAAAATCACAGAGCAGCAGAGAGCCCAAGTGAGCTGTGGAAACAAAAGGTGTGGAGATTCTTTTAGCATCTTGAACACTGATGGATGATTTAATCCAAGATTACAGTTTGGCTTGGCAGCTCCAATGAAACACAGGAGAGAAGCATCAAAAACTCAGTTAAGGGGGCTGGAGAGACGGCTCAGAGGTTAAAAGCACTGGCTGCTCTTGCAGCAGACCTGGGTCCAAATCCTAGAATCTACATGGTGGCTAACAACCATCTGTAACTCCAGTTCCAGGGGATGTGTCCCTCTTCTGTCCTCTGCAGGCACTGCACAACACAAGCGCATTTACACACATGCAGGCATAACACTCATGCACATAAAATTACTTTAAATATATATATATATATATTTGCTGGGCGTGGTGGCACACGCCTTTAATCCCA